TGGACTGACTATTACTTCTCCAAGTTTTGCGTGTAGCTCCAAGAGGTGTTCACGGCGTCTGAACCTTCCAATCCCAAGGGCAGGTCCGTCCCAAAGCTTGGCCGATGTTCATATCCCCATGGTGTACGGGCACTGGAACGTTCCAACATCGGAGCAATTTCAATACCCCTTCATGTCACGGGCCCGTTTAAGGTTTCGATCCCACATGAGTGTCAAGGAGACGAGAACGGCGACGCTAAAGTAGAGCATGGTACGGAGCTGCTCGTTGTAACCCTCGCTGAACACGGATCGAACGGCAGTCCGTGTGGGGGCTGGTAGACTGTCTATGAATTGAACCGAATCGGAAATGGATTGCATCTCTGAGGGGGTGAGGTAGTTTGGGAGACTGGATGCGAGGTGGTTGTTGAGAATGGTCGCCCTGCATAGGAAGACGAATCAGCAACTTGCAACAACGTGAGACGACATGTTTGATGGAGAAGAGGCACTCACCCCACGGCCAAGCCAATGGTGCCCCCCAATGTCCGAAACTGTGTTACGGCTCCCATTGAAACGGCTATGTTTATTCGTCAGGTAAATGCATGACAGCTGCAAGGTGATGCTTACCAAGGTCCCGCCGGTCAACCAGGAAAGGGACATAGATGAGGACCGTCACCAGTGTCATACCAAAGCCAAAGCCCATGATCGCTTCGAACCCCAGCAAGTCTCTCAATCTATCAGGAGTTACGGAGCTAGCGAGGCCCACGCCCAGAATCTGCATGCACGCCCCAAATAGCAACAGATAGAAAGGCGGCACGTCCATCTTGGTGGTCAACGGGCCAGACACTGCGGCGGCAAGTGGAGAGCTGAGGAGGAGAGGGAGCGTATGGACGCCCGCAGCAAAGGGGGTCAATCCGTGGACGGCTTGGAAGCGCTGCGGAAGGTTGATCAAGGCGGTCATGAACGGCAGGCCGGTGAAGAAGGCGGTCCTGAGACAACTGGTGAGCTACGCCTCGGCGCTGCAGCAAAGTTGGAGAAGACTCACAAAAACAGGCCAACAAAGTGTCGATCCTTCAACAGCCGCAGAGGGAATACGGGCTCTTGTGGATACTTTGGCTTGCCAACCACGTACTCACATGCAATGAAGGCCAAAAAGAGACTGCCTCCGCAAACAATCGTAGAAATGACGATGGGGCTGTTCCACGGATATCTTGAGCCGGCCTCCTCGAAGCCAAAGACGAGAAGGATTGATGCTGCGAGCAGCACGGCGGCTCCTACAAAGTCTAGCCTGGCGATTGCGGCTCCGCTGAACTTGTCCCGCATGCTTGGCTGATTTACCCCGCGGCCCTGGTGCGGAAAACTGGACGGCAAAAGGAACGCGAGGAGAGCGGTTGCAAAAGCGCCCGTCGGCGCACTACCATGGACGATAAGTGCGAATCCTGCGATATGTCCAATTGAGGGGAAGAGGAAGGGAAAACACACTTGAGTAAAAAGACCCATCGCCAACTCGAGTGGTCGTTGATTACGCCTCCTAGGACTGGGCCTAGCACGGAGCTGAAGACGAGAACAAGCGAGGTGCCAGCGACGATATTGCCCCATTTGTCGGACGGAACCAGTTCAGGGTTAATCACATTGACCATGGCATATATGCCAGACGCTCCGACTCCCTGAAAGGCACGGAAGATGATACTGCCCTCCCAAGTCAGTTTCGATATCAAATGACGAACGGCTCGGGCTGTCTTACAGCTGTACCATGGACGATATTACACCGCACACGATGGAAAATATCGTGAAGATGGCCAAAGACAGGAGAACGACGAATTTTCTGCCTAGCACGTCACTGAACTTGGCGAATATGATGAGAAATCCTGGCCAGTGTCAGACGGCGGCAACACAATGGACAAGAAGAAGACCTTGAGGTGCAGGCTTACCAGTGTAAGTAAGCAGATACGAGGTGACGATCCAATCCCGCTGCTCAAACCCGTGTAAAGCGTTGGTGATGGAGACAAGTGACGTGCTAACGATGGTGGTCTCAAGCGTGGACAAGAAGAGCGACATGCACAATCTAGAGGTTCAGGTATTAGCCAAGGCGGCCGACGAAACGGAACCAGCGTTGCATACCCGGATATGATGGCGTAGAGCCTCCATCCTGTGATATATACGGGAGGTATCAACTCCGGTTCTGTGTGAGGAGCAGCATCAGAGGGTTCGTCACTCAATTGAAGTGGCTGGATTGCAGGCGGGATTATAGGATCTTCGGCCTTTGCGACAGCATCTGCATCGGCCTTTGGATGTTCGACAACGGCGCTTTTTGAGGCCGAAGCTTCGGCCACTGCGACGTCGGAGGGGGGAGAATTTTCCTTTGATGCTGCCGTTGACATTGTGTGATGTGTTTTTCTATGTACTGCATAGATGGAGTGGAACGACACTTGTCGTAGACACTGAGTTGATATATCTGTAGATCTTTGCCATGGTCGTCGCCCATGGCCTTTGATACGACGACAGCGGAATGATTAGGGACAACATGGCATGATGGCCTGATAGATGTCGGGCTAGTCGGTGCTTTGCGCCAGAGGCGTAGAGGACAGCCTGGCGTGCCTGGCTAGGGGCTGAATCCTTCCTGGCTAGTTAGCTGCTAATTCCCCTATACGAGTCGGCGACAATGTCTTGACCGGCAAGCATTGCCGTTTGATCTCGACTTGCTGTGTTGTGGTGATGTGCTCACTTGAGGCTCAATGGCATCACGGGCAAAAAGTTCACCAAACACGTCTGAGTTCGGTGAAGCATCGAATGTGGCAACCCGTTAGGCCCGTTTTCGCTATTTCCACACCAAGTCTGGAAGGAATGGAGCCTCCCGGGATTGTGGGTGGGTTCATGCCATCTCGGAGCCAGGTGTGAATTATGTAAGCAGGTTGGACGAGATCACGTGAAAAGTCCGGTGATGTTCAGATTCCGCGGTTTCGGGAGTCGGGTGCAGTAGAGCTTGCACGTGACATGAAAAGTAGTCGTGAGTTTCACATCCCACCGGCGGCATTGTTCCCCTTAAACCCCGTACCTGCGAGCGACGAGACTCGACATATCATGCGCCAGCTTGATATGGCATAATTGTGCATCAACATGGGTCGATCGGCGCGGAAGAGGAGTAATAAGGCTGACGAAACGTCCACAATGCCAAAGAGCAGTCAATCACAGGCAACTCTTCTTGAGTGCGAGCTTCGAAAGACGATCTTCTCAACACTCGGATAATGCAAAGGAAGCTTTCCTCGAGTACCTACCTAAGTTCAGCTGCCCAGTTGCCCCTGAGGAAATAGGTGTCCGTTCTGATACTGTGTCACTCGCAAGTCCGCTTTGATTTGACAATGGGCCGCAAACACAGTGCAACTTCTTCCCGTGGATGGGGTCCCCCGGCTCACGTGCGCCGCGCTGTAACGGATCGACGCAGGGCTCCCGCCTCTAGTGCACCTATTGCAACCGGCTCTCCCAACTTGTCAATTGTTAGTCCGAGTCTTGGGCTCTGGTGGGATGGGGCTCCGGGCTGCAGATGGCAGGTGCTTTTACGCAGACATATTACATAGTATACGGATACACAGGGGCATTTGAGGGACTATCGAGCCACTGGATCCTGGATCCGCTGATGAACAGACGAAGTGCATGGGAATCAGGTAGCTCCGTGTGATACCTTATTAGTTCAGTCCGTATGGCAGTTGGGTATCCTTCATGAACGATATGTCCATGTGCGCAACACCCATATAAGGATGGAATGCCGTACGGGTTGTTCATTCGCCATGTCCCGTAGGTGTTGTGCATCACCCAGCAATGTGCAACGTTTATATGTGTGATACCGCCAAAGCAGCCTTGGTAGATAACATTGGAACAGTCATAGCTACCTTATGTCGAATATCTTGCAATACAGGTGCCCGATGCCCAATGTACATGCAGGCGCAATATCCAACTTGGATTGACTTTCGCTTAGTTGACAGTTGATTGAGGTTGGACGTCAACCCATCAGCCCGGTTGCCCAGTTGCCCAGGTTCAGCAAGAGGCAGCCGGGGGGTTGAGAGACGTGGTTGGCTGGTGGAAAAGAGAGGCAATTTGGTGGCCAAATTGGGGGGTAACGAGCTAAGGTACGGGAAACGGATTGTTAACTTGTTGCTGTGCAGCTTTGGTCAGCATCTTGAATCTTTGGTAATCACAGTCCTCGAGTGAGAGGACACTGTACCTGTCTCGTACCCCTTCTCCCGTGTCCACCGCCCCTCTCTGCCATGTGGGCTTTTACTGTGTGAAGAGCATGTCCCCTGACTCCCTGTGCCTTTGTCGAAATGTCTCGCCTCTTGCCGGGTACTTGTATCGCTCTCCCCGTACCGTGTGAGTGTCAGAACAGGCTTTCCCAGGCGTGGACTCGAGAGATTTCATCATTGTCCCCCCTCTCGTTGACCCCTAGGTTCTTGCCTTCCAAGTTCCCCAGGGCCCCAAATGCACCGCCTCCTGAGTCCTGAGTCTTGTTGCACCTCCTATTCCCATCCCTCCTGTGCCTCCTGAATCCTGTCCCAACTTGGCTACTGCTTGTGAATCTGGACGAGACTCCGCATCTCGAGCGCACTACCTAAGGTACTCCGTGCTTACTTTTCGTAAAGTTAGAGCAAACTGTCTTTCTTTGAAAAGAAGCCCCTGAATCCCATCCAAAAAACCCCAAAGTGAATTAAGACACAATTATGGCAGGAGCTACCTAATTTGTATTCCGTTCCTAGCTTTCTCGGCTCCTACCCGTAAGGAAGGTACCTCCTGTCGCCTGTGCCTCCCTCTCCTTTTCTGCCCTGGGCTCCATCCTGTCCTCCCTTCCTCAGCAACGTCTACTCTACTATGTACACCTAGGTACCTTACCTTACTCCGTACCCAACTTCGTACCCGGTACTGCTCAGCTCCCAAGCTCAGCCCGTATCATCTCTCCAGCTGAGAATAGCATCTGAACCAAGGTAAGGAATTCAGAATCCCTTCTTTTTTTTTTCTACTTCCTCATCTTCTCTCCTCCACGCCTCGCATCTCGCAGTATTCTCTTCCCTCTTCGGCCCCTGTCCTGCGGGTTTTTCTTCTTCTTCCTGCAGACATACACTCCTCACCCCGCCATCCACCCACAGTGCCACTGGATTTCTCTTGGAACTTGGAATCTTGCACCACTGTGCCACCCCGTCACCCCGTTTTTGTCAGCAATATCCCCAGCACAAGGTACCAAGCAGCGCAGCAGCAACAGCGACCAGAACCCAGCTAACCAACCAAACCTCCCAGCCCAGCGGCGCCAGATTGTCTCACCACACACGTACCGTCCGTCCACCCCCAAAAAAGAAGCCAAAGGCCTACGCAGTAAGAGAGGGGGCGGAATTTGCGGGGTTCCTCCAGCACAACGATCCAACGAGCGTCTTTGTACGCCAACCTTGAACCTCCACCAACAAATCACGACCCCAGAGCGACCACTCCTCTCTCTCTCTCACTCACACATACATACCCTCTCTCTTTGAGTCCTCTCCTACCCGTACCCGTGCTCGTACCGTACCGTACCTTACTCTTTGGTACCGTACCTACCTGTGCATTATCTACCGCACCCCCAAAAACACCAAACAACAATCTTTATTCCTCGCCCCGCCTCGACTCGCTTCGCCTCACCCCGAAGGCTCACCTAAACCTCACCTCACCACCTCGCATTCTCTCGACGGCACTCTCCTCACCTTCGATCGCACGCACCATCAATCACCCCGACTTTGACTTCTCAACACCCATTTCCATCGTCACTAGTCCGATTCGCCATCTGCGCATTCGGCAATAAATCCCCCCCTCCTTCGTACCTTCTTCCTGCCAAAATGTCGTGGAAGTTGACGAAGAAGCTCAAGGAGACCCATTTGGGTCCCTTGGCCAACACCTTCTCTCGATCCCCCTCTACGTCTACCATTACCGACAGCAGCGAAAAGGCCCAGGCCAACATTGCAGGCTCGGCCACTCCCACGAACGAAAACACTATCGGTACGTCTTCCCGTCCACGAACCTCCAATATCCCCATACCGACCGACCCATTACTCTTGTCGTCTTGATACTAACCCACTACTACAGCTGCCTCTGAGGCCATGGCGCAAGTACCAGTCGTCAACCCTCCCAAGCCCGGTATTCTCGTCGTCACCCTCCACGAGGGTCACGGATTCTCCCTCCCCGAACAACACAGAGCAGCATTCGCCTCCTCACACCAAGGTTCGCTGTCCACAGGCGGTGCCCTCAGCGTCGCCGGCTCCGTGCGTCCCTCTTCTTCACAACGAGGAGCTGTCGGCTCCTTCATCAATGGCGCGGCTCGGCCACAGACATCTGGCGGTGGCTTTACTGGAATTCCTACCAACCATGGTCGCATTTCCGGCAAGTACATGCCCTACGCCTTGCTGGATTTCGACAAGATGCAGGTCTTCGTCAACTCGGTCGAGGGAACACCAGAGAACCCCCTCTGGGCCGGAGGAAACACTCAGTATAAGTTCGATGTGTCTCGCGTGACGGAACTCGTCATTCACTTGTACATGCGCAACCCCCTCGCTACTCCCGGATCCGGTCGTAGCCAGGACATCTTCCTCGGTGTTGCCCGCATCAACCCCCGCTTCGAGGAGAAGCACCAGTTCGTCGAGGACCCCAAGCTGAGCAAGAAGGATCGCGAGAAGGCTGCGGCTGACTTTGCCGCTCGCGAGCGCGCCCTCGGCCACAGCGGAGTCGAATGGGTGGATGTGCAGTACGGAACCGGAAAGGTCAAGATCGGTGTCGAGTACGTCGAGAACCGCGCCGGAAAGCTCAAGATTGAGGACTTTGAGCTGCTCAAGGTGGTGGGCAAGGGTAGCTTTGGCAAGGTCATGCAGGTGCGCAAGAAGGACACGAACAGAATCTACGCCCTCAAGACGATCCGAAAAGCACACATCATCTCCAGATCCGAGGTCGCCCATACCCTTGCCGAGCGCTCGGTATTGGCGCAGATTAACAACCCCTTCATCGTTCCTCTCAAGTTTACCTTCCAGTCGCCTGAGAAGCTCTACTTCGTCTTGGCCTTTGTCAACGGAGGCGAGCTTTTCCACCACCTCCAAAAGGAGCAGAGATTCGACGTCAACCGCTCGCGCTTCTACACTGCCGAACTCCTCTGCGCTCTCGAGTGCCTCCACGGCTTCAACGTCATCTACCGCGATCTCAAGCCCGAGAACATTCTCCTCGACTACCAGGGACACATTGCCCTCTGCGACTTTGGCCTTTGCAAGCTCGACATGAAGGACGAGGATAGAACCAACACATTCTGCGGTACGCCCGAGTACCTGGCGCCTGAGCTGCTCATGGGCCAGGGCTACAACAAGACGGTGGACTGGTGGACCCTTGGTGTTCTCCTGTACGAGATGTTGACGGGACTGCCCCCCTTCTACGACGAGAACACGAATGAGATGTATCGCAAGATCCTCTCGGAGCCTCTCCACTTCCCCGGCCATGACGTCGTGCCCCCCGCGGCCAAGGATCTCTTGACCAAGCTCCTCAACCGCGACCCCAAGGAGCGTCTCGGTGCCAATGGATCGGCCGAGATTAAGGCCCATCCCTTCTTCCACGCCATTGACTGGCGCAAGCTTCTGCAGCGCAAGTACGAGCCTGCGTTCAAGCCCAATGTGGTAAGTAATGATATGATGATGGCAATGCCAAAAAAGAAAAATGTGATTTGCTCCCATGGCAGCTTCCGCTAACACGTGTTTTCTTTCAGGTGGACGCTCTCGATACAGCCAACTTCGATCCCGAGTTCACGTCAGAAGCACCCCAGGATTCGTACGTGGAGGGCCCGATGCTCTCGCAGACGATGCAGAACCAGTTCCAGGGCTTCAGCTATAACCGACCTATTGCGGGCCTGGGTGATGCCGGAGGCAGTGTCAAGGACCCTTCCTTTGTGGGCAGCATCCAGGACAACCGATAGGCGGCTTGAGCACGACGAGTCAACGGACGAGTTGAGCATGCTTGAAGAATAGAATTGGGGAGGAAGCAGGCTCGGCAAAGGGGCAGAGCAGGGCAGGGCTAGAAAGAAAGCGAAGCATGATATTGTGTGGAGTGGGCTTGGTGATTCAAGGGTTTAGCTCAAGCTAAGCTTACAGCAAAGCAACTCGACAGGGAATGGTCGGGGGCACATTGAGTGCGCACGCGCACTCGACAACAAACAGCTTTGCATCTTCGTCTTTGTACGGCGTTTTGGAATGGGCATGATGACGCCTTTTGGGGAAAAGGAAATGTAGATAGGCACAGATCATTGAGCAGACAGACAGACGAATCAGCTCTCAGCATCATCATTCACGGGCATGTCTTTCTGTACCGTCCAGCTCGGCATGGTAGTGATGCACCCTCAATCCTTGGTGGCATCTCCAACTCATAGGCCTCTCAGCTAACGTGCTAAGGAATGTAAGTTGCAAACTTGGAATTTGTACATGTTGACAAATCCCCGCCTGGGGATAGAGGACGGAATCGGGCCGGGACGTCAATGGTGGTGTCTGACAAAAGAGATCGGACGTCGGATCTACCGGGACGGGATGTAGCGGGAGTTAGTCAGCGCAGGGCCCACCATATCGGAGTGACCGCTTCAAGACCTGTCGTCTCAAGGCTCACGATGTTCTGCGGCATGCCAGCCTCAACTGAGCTGCTTGAGGAAGTCAATGGATTTCCAGGTTGCACATTTTGTCGCCGCAGGGGGTCGGAGGCCGAGTTTATGTGCTCCATGAACAGCCTCAAGTATCCCCCCGGACGGAATTGCCCCGAAGACAAAATATCTCATTATCCCGGAGAGCAGGCAGGTACACTAAAGCTCCAGTTCAAGGGCCGAAAAAAATGAACTTGTCCGCGGGACTTGGTTGGTGGGGGGTTTGGATGGGGGGTTATTAAGGTAGCTTCAATGCATTCGCCATGAGTAATGGGCTGTCGGATATAGCAGATAAGAAAGAGGAGCGTCAATTGGTAGGGTTGGCTGAGATTGTGGATGGAAGATGGCGATAGGTGTTAGTGGATGGCTGGGAGACCGTCGAGACGAGGGAAGTGCGAGGTACGGAGCATGGCATCGTGTGTTTAGGTAAGCTTCGTTCTGCTTCGGGGCTGTCACAGCGACGCCGGCGGCGGGGGGCACGGCGGAGCAGGGGGTATGACGGTGGACGATGACGGAGAAACTTGGGCGAGGACCTCACCAATTCACTCAACAATAGGGACGGGACCCGGTTCCCAGCCCACTTCTCTCGACTTAAGTTACCGCAGCTCGTGAGAGATATCCGACGGCCTTGACAATATCCGTAAGTGAAGGGTGAACTTGTGAGAGGTATCGTCGTCTCGTGTTCCATTTTCTTCTAAAGCGCAGCCCTCCCACATTGCTAATCCTCTTGCTCTTGTCCATTTCCCTCTTTGCTCTCCCTCTGCCTTGCATTTTCCCATCTTCTCTAACCTACCAACATTGATACCCCCATCTGTCTACCTCATCCCCTGCACTTGCCTTACTGAGCTTCCGTGTACCGCTCTCTTCCACTTGCAGAATCTCTGCTAGGTATTTGAGGTACATTAGTACGCTTAGGTAATTCACCTGGCGTCATTTCCCCTCCCCCCCAAGGTCAGTGCTTTTGCTTCCGCTTCCCAGGCCCTCCACTGTCACTCGGTGCGAATACAGCGTGCCATGCCCCGCGTTCCAGCAGTGTTTTTGTACGCAATTACCCCTCCACGCCAGACATGCCACCTCGAGTTGAGCCCTCCCATTGGCTGCTTTCAAGCTCTGAACGCCGCACCCATCCAATTCCATCCCACTTTCACTTCCACGGTTGCTTAGGTCCCAGTAGAACCGCCGCAACTCTCCCCGTCCTGCTCCTCCCACTGTCATAGTCAGTCCACGACAACACACACACACACACACCTTTTTACCTAACCTGACTTTTTACATACCTCCTTTTCTTGTTTTTAGCCTGATCTCTATATACCTTCACTTGGTCAATTCGATACCCAAGAGGTACACTTCCCATCACCACTCCTGCACACATGCCCATAGAATCCCATTGCTAACGTTCTCTTCCTCCAAAGATCACCATCGTCCAATCTCTAGCTTCTATCGACTACACTCCATACCGCCCAAAATGCCTCAAGCATCCAGCCTTCCCGCGTGGGCCGAGCTCCAGGCTCACCGCGACAACGTCGGCAAGAACTTTGTCCTGAAGGAAGCCTTCGCAGCCGACACGGATCGTTTCGCCAAGTTCAGCCGTACCTTCAAGAACTCGGCTTCGGGCACCGACATCCTCTTTGACTTTTCAAAGAACTTCCTCAACGATGAGACCCTCCACCTCCTCGTCAAGCTCGCCGAGCAGGCCAACCTCGAGAAGAAGCGCGATGCCATGTTCGCCGGCGAGAAAATCAACTTCACCGAGAAGCGCGCCGTCTACCACTCCGCCCTCCGCAACGTCGGCGACTGGGACATGAAGGTTGACGGTGTCGACGTCATGGGCAACAAGGGCGGTGTCCGCGAGGTTCTCGAGCACATGAAGGAGTTCTCCGAGCAGGTCCGCAGCGGCGAGTGGAAGGGCTACACCGGCAAGAAGCTCACCACCATTGTCAACGTCGGTATCGGAGGTTCCGATCTGTGAGTCTTTTCTGCTCCCCCTCTTACCTGTGAACACAGAGAAGCCTCCGGCGTTCGAACTAACATCCCTCGCAGCGGCCCCGTCATGGTCACCGAGGCCCTCAAGCACTACGGTGCCAAGGACCAAACCCTCCACTTCGTCTCCAACATTGACGGTACCCACATGGCCGAGGCCCTCGCCAACTCGGATCCCGAGACCACCCTCTTCCTCATCGCCTCCAAGACCTTCACCACCGCGGAGACCACCACCAACGCCAACACGGCCAAGTCGTGGTTCCTCGAGAAGACGGACGGCAAGGGCGAGATCGCCAAGCACTTTGTTGCTCTGTCCACCAACGAGGAGGAGGTCACCAAGTTCGGCATCGACGCCAAGAACATGTTCGGCTTCGAGAGCTGGGTTGGCGGTCGCTACTCCGTCTGGAGTGCCATTGGCCTCAGTGTCGCCATCTACGTCGGCTACGACAACTTCCATAAGTTCCTTGCCGGTGCCCACGAGATGGACAAGCACTTCCGCGAGACTCCCCTTGCGGAAAACATCCCCGTTCTGGGAGGTCTCCTGAGCGTTTGGTACTCTGACTTCTTCCAGGCCCAGACCCACCTGGTTGCTCCGTGAGTGTTTCCTACGCCGAGCATCAATAGATTGTTTGATTCTAACCAGTCGCAAACAGCTTCGACCAGTACCTGCACCGCTTCCCTGCCTACCTCCAGCAGCTTTCCATGGAGTCCAATGGCAAGACCATCACCTCTGACGGAACTCCCGCCAAGTACACCACCGGTAAGGACATGCCTTGATACGACTATGCTCCTAAAGACTAACAACCATGACTAGGTCCCATCCTCTTCGGCGAGCCCTGCACCAACGCCCAGCACTCCTTCTTCCAGCTCGTCCACCAGGGTACCAAGCTGATCCCCGCCGACTTCATTTTGGCCGCCAAGAGCCACAACCCCATTAGCGACGGTGTCCACCAGAAGATGCTCGCCTCCAACTACTTTGCCCAGGCTGAGGCCCTGATGGTTGGCAAGACCGCTGACCAGGTACGCGCCGAGGGTGCCCCCGAGGAGCTTGTCCCCCACAAGATCTTCCTCGGCAACCGCCCCACCACCAGCATCTTGGTCGGTGGCCACATTGGCCCCGCCGAGCTTGGTGCTCTGATTGTCTACTACGAGCACCTTACCTTCACTGAGGCCGCCATCTGGGACATCAACGCCTTTGACCAGTGGGGTGTCGAGCTGGGCAAGGTCCTGGCCAAGAAGATTCTCAAGGAGCTTGACGAGGCTGGCAACGGCGAGGGCCACGACGCCTCCACTGGCGGTCTGATTGGCGCTTTCAAGAAGTACTCCAACTTGTAATGAATAATGTTCCTTTGTCCTTTGGTAGTTTTATAAAATTGGAAAGAGAAGGGGTGGCGTGAAGAGCGGTTCACGCCCCGATGAAGCCAGCAGCCTACAAAAATGAAGAAATCTTGTCTACACCTGAGTCCACTTTGTACTCGTGATATTGCTTGCTACTCGCACTCTCCTGTGTATGGAATGCACGACGCAAAAGAATATCTCAAAGGTGCAAAGACGACATCTAGACTTTTTCTCATCTTCTTTTTTTGGGAGGACAAGGAGCATCCACGCAAGAAAGACATGCACTTTCCCCCTTGAACATTGGTATTTTACATTCGATGTCCGCCTTTGCTGACTCTGGGGTTCAGTCTTGAAGGAATCCAGCTTCCGATCTTTGGTATCTGAGACCTCGGTGGTCCTAGTTTTATGATAAATGTCGGAAAGTCTCAGTACTTAGCAGCGGATGAGTTATGGGGAAGCGTTTTATTGCACCGAGATCCTCTTGACCTAGTATGCAGGAACGGAACAGGAGTGCAATTAGAAGCATTCCGGAATATGAGTAGCGAGTATGGCGTCGGTTCATTCGAAGTATCCATGTCGGGTGTGACATAGGATCTGAATCATCTCGTCAGCGTATATCAAACCACAGGCATCTATTCTACAAGACGCACCTGGCATGGAATTGTCACAAATGCTTACTTACGAGGTGAGTCGACCCTTCGAGCTTATACTGACTTTGCTGAGTTTCCGAACATGAAGTCCTAGGTTGGATGGAAGGGAAAATGCCAGGGCTGCAGTGAAGAGGCTAATGCCAGACTCGTATTGTTTTTCCATTGATGGCTGGAACCCTTGCCATTTCAAAGTGAAGTCTTCGGGCTGGAGGTATACCGAGTTCTGTGTTGGGTTCTTTCCGTTGTATCCGTGCTTTCATGTGTCAAAGGAGATTGGCCTTTGGTCATGGTGGAATCTCTAGTCTTGTTCCAAACCTCTTATCGAGACCACAATCTATTCATCTGCTGTCACTTGGACTCCTCTTTGAAAAGGGCTCTCTTTCATTAACTTTTTGGTCAGTAAATAGCGCCCTTTCATATGTTCTCGTAGCGGGCAGAGACATAAACAGTACAGGACACATTTTCTCGCTGCGAACCTACTAGTGACTTGATTTCCTTGCCCATTTTCTGATATACTTGTGAACCAAAGAATCAGTAGAGAGTGTCTGATCAATGTCGACGAACTATCTCACGCACAGTGTATCACTCCCGTCACGAGTTGCCCCCAAGTCTATGCGCGAATATTTCCTGCAGAGCCTGATTCTATAGTGCCCAGGGAGAACTCAGAAGCCTAGATCTCAACCTTTCAAGATAGCCAGAGGTGAAGAAGAGCCATATGATCACAGAAGTGAGCCCCGGACGCGTCTGGATGCGCTGATGTCTCGGTATAAGGCGCAACTTACGCGCTGTTCACGAGCAACGCAACAGTTTCTTACCCCTAAACGCGTCAGTTTATAGCTCTCTGCCGTGGCTGGGATATCAGGCTTTCGATATATGGGATTAGACCTACGGCTAGTCGACTGGATATAAGCATGTGGTAGACGCGAAGGTCGAACTTCACACGCAGCAGTCGTGCATTGTCGGACTAAGACTCTGGAGGTGGTACCTTGATCAACCACACATCTCATCAAGCTGTTGTGGATAGTGGACAGTAGGGGATGCCGTCCTTGATCGATAGAGCAGCGCTTTACAAGCTCTCACTATCCTCCATCCTAAGTTGCATCACTAATGAATATGAGACCAGCGGACCGAAATGGGAGATAGTACGATCTTTAAAAAGACGTCGCTTGGAAAGATTTACCCAAACGCCATGATCTTGTCCCTGAGTCTACACGAACACTTTTCAGTCGGTGTCGGCAGGTGTACTTATGGGAAGGGATGATCGTCGCAGAGTACGAGAGAAACGACGGTCCCAGAACGCCAGATGGCTATGGGTTTCATATACTCATTGATTGCGGGTACTTATTATACTCGAAGTCGGAGGTGGGCATCCAGCCCGCAAGACATACTGCGTACTCTCGACGACGTCTCATGGCGCCATGTGGGGAGCGGAAGGTGCCATTATGAAGGAAAACGCAATCGTCTACGACGATGAGGACTTTGTGGAAACTCTTCTTCGGGATGTGGCCATAATGTTGATGACTGAGTGCCATGCGGATGTTGAAGACGAGCATATCAAACTTGTAACCCAGGGCTCAACCCACGACTGGAAAGCCATGATTGTGGCCCTATCGCTAGTCCACCTGCACGGGTTAAGGGCTGTAAGGTCATAACAATAAAGAGACTCCTTTGAAAAAGATGACCGATCGCGATTCGGAATTTCAGAGGACCATGATCTGACGAGAACCCAGAATTCCCACGGGATCGTCAGGGAACTTGTCTCAATGAAGAAGTTCATACTCCCATCCAGACTACTGGGCTGCGGTATCAATCACAATGGAGAAATAGACTGCGATCGTCAGGTCTCGAACGTCCAGACTCCTCTTTGGACCGCATCCTCTCGTGGGCCCCTCCGTGAGGGTGTTCACGATGTGGATGGACCCTCAGCGAGGTCTCCATCTCGACTCTGGATCAACGTTCAACCCAGACGATTCGTAGTGGCTAAGGTAGCCGCTTCTTCGCCTACTCATGTATCCGTAGAGAAACTCCACAACGGCGTGTGTGTTGTAGACGCTGGGGGGTTTTCTAGCACGATACGAATCCCCGATGACCCATAATTCTAGCTGCGAGCAGACGGGGCAAGGATAGGCGATGGAGCAAGCAACCAGAGCGGACGGCGCATGCTCCACGACGGATTCTCTACGTAGAAAAGTGTGTCTACTCAGCAGTGGGAACCCGCACAGAATTCGTCGGGCACACGTTTACCTCCCTGCTCCACGAACGCCTTCACTATCTTTGCGGGTACTGATAGCAGCCCCTCCCTCCCTCACTCTCCTCAAAACCAAAAAGGCGTGCTCCGCTGGTTGGTCTGGGGACTCGGGGAGCACCTTTCTGTACCGATTGTTCCCCGCAGAGGCAAATGCAGTGCGGAGATGTGCTTTCACTCGACTTCAAGACGTGTCTTCGCATCTGCACCCGCCCAGAGAGGCACGGGAGGGAGGTGCGGTGTCGGTGCATAACACGCGCGCATGGCGGACATGGCTCTGACCAGCGACTTGGCTGGCAAGCTGGGTCAGCGAAAAAGGCACCGCGTCTGCTGCGTCTCGCCACCGGCGAATTGAACCGCTCAGTTCTCAGCTTTTTCTGAACTGCATAGAGTCCTACCGTGTAAACTCCCGACGCGGATCGATCGACAGCGGGCTGCGTTTTTTGAGAGGTAGACCGCCGCCAACCGTATTCTTGACACATCGGGTCCCCAAAGATATCGTCTACGGCCGTTGGCTGTGACTGAACTAGAAGCGCATTTGAATGGGCAGATCACGAATGATCCCGTGGTAAGCCGATGTTGAGGACGGTGCCGAACATATTTCGGACTGGTCGTTCTCAGCCTCTTGGCCTACTACCGTGATGGTCCACGGATGCCGTCCCGCCAAGGGTGTCTTGCTCTGCCGCCTAGCCGACCGCCGCCGATGGCTAGCCGTCAATCGCCCGTCTACAGGCTTGCGCCAACAGGTTGCTGATGTCAGCTCGAATTTACTTTTTTGCAAAAGGCGCTCTAGCCGCAGTCAACTTCTAGCACACCCTTAACCAGTAACCCAGTGCAGCAAAAGGTAGTAAATCTTGTGAAGGCGAAGGACCCGGGCAGCCGGAGGCAGCCAGAGGCTGAAAGGTCTTGCACTCTCACAAGCCAAGTTCCATATGGTGTTTGTGCATCAACGGCCACAAGCTTGATAGAAAAGATGGGTGCCGATATTTGTGGCATCAGAAAGCCTAGGTATGTCTCAAATCCCACCTTGTCGGCCGAGGGCAAATATCGGAAAGCAGCTGAATACATCTAGCGAGTGGCAGTTGAAATGGCCAAATGAGAACATTGAACAGAAGACACCGATGTTGAAACTTTGTGCGGATCGGAGAAAATCGGCCCCACTTCGGGAACGTGATGCGGTGCTGCCCGGGCGACTTTTTCTGTCTTTTTTGGTCAACGTGCATAGTCAACCCCATGGAGAACATACATATGTGACCTACAGTACCGATGAACATCCGTAGCATTTCACGGGGTAGGAGTGAGAAGGTAACCGAGTCAGTCCACGTTCATCTGGGCGGTAAGCGCTGAGGTGCAGTGGGATTTTCCGCCGGGTGAAAGGCAGGTGAGGCCGCCGACGATGGGAGTGTGTTGAGCTATTTCCAGATTTTAGAGTTGCCTGTGCCGGAAAATATCCCGCTGCCCGGAGGAGAGAGATTGGCGTTTGTTGTTGGTATCGGGCCGTCCAAGCCAACCTTGCAGTGGATGGTTGCGTTTGGCAACGTGATGGACCTGCGTCCTGGGAAATGAAGTCGCCGGATAAAGTCCATCTTGATGAAGTCTCATGTGCCTTTCCATGTGCCTACCTGCATGAGGACGACTGAAGCTGAGACGATGTGCGCGGCAATGCTTTGAAGGCCTGATCTGCTTCTGAACGGTGGCAAGCCTCGGGACGATGTGAGGCTGACAAAAAATGTCGCAATCTGGTAGAAACCAGCACGTGGACCTTTATGAATAGTGTCATCTTGCCATGGACTTCCAACGACAATGCGATGCGTGAGATAGGGGTCGATCCAGGTGCATGTGCCCAACCGCCGCAACCGTCCATGGTGGCCGCGCCAAACGCGTAGTCCACACCAGTCCCATCTCGTGGATCGCTGGATCTCTTGTCATCCTCACGTGGAACTGACCATCCACAACGACCATCCGTTGATCCATCACCACCTTTGGGATCATCTGGGGTTGTCCACTAGCGGGCCGTCAACGACTCAAGCATTGCTATGACCACCGTTTATCTTGTGGGATAGACGCTGTAGCCGAGAGATGTACGGATGTAGCGATGGGATTCGAGATCCGGAAAGGTCCCTGAATATCTCCTCCCATGCTGGACGATCGATTTGTTGGAACTTGAACGTCTTTGGTGCTACCATGCGGCATGTGGTGAGCAACTGTTGCAAAACATGGTCAAATTACGACTCAAGCCCAAGGAGAAAAGCCCGGCAATCGAGTCCGAAACTCGAGAAGACTCACGACAGTTGAGCACCGGGTTTGTTTGCTAGCGAGGTGGAATGACGTGCTCTTGTGAGCGATAACTCGACTAAATCGCCAGAGCCCCATCTGTCGTAGCCGACCATCGTTGAAGGGATGACGGGTCCATTGAGTTTCTGACAAACCTCAACTTGGCGCATCGTGAATGCGTAAAGTACAAGCTGCAACGGGCGCCAGCCAGGACCAGGGTCTCCGAACTAATCGCACACCCTGAGGGGCCCTTGTCCTAAGTACCTGCGACTCGCAAAAGGCTAACAAGACCCTTGATGCCTAGGTTTACCTGGTGCAGAATGGCGGGCAAAGCCAGTAGCCAGTCATGTTGCAAAGAAGCGTCTTGGTGGGAAAAGGGTCCGCGGGGCTTGACATGGACTGGCGGGCGTGAACGCATAGAAAAGCCCCAGCAATGACGCATGCCAAGACCCAAGTCTAAAGAGTGAGGACATTCGCAGTCGGACTGAGTTCCTTGGGTTGCTGATTGTACTCCTTGTCCAGTCAGAAAGCGTAAAAGTGTCTGCATGCCGTTTTCTCAAGGAGTCTCCTCAATCCCTAGCCAATTGGCGAATGTGCCTGGCTCCGCCGCAATGGAGTCCTCAAGAGACTTTGCTATTCGTATGTACGGATACGTACACTACGTATGTGATAGTGGGATTACTGGGGTTTCCCTTAATGACTACTGGCACTTTCAAGTTGTGACTAGCGCAACATCGTGAGATGGGCCAGGATTGAGGCGTCCAATCCATCCAGTAGGGTAATTAATTCCAGGCGTTATCAAGGCACGCTCTCTCGGAGGACACAGATGAGCCCCGCGGGTTTGCTGTGCAATGGTGGCTTATTTCGAAATGGAGTACATCGACTGGCTGGCCGATTTGCTTGAGCCCACAGTTGAAGTAGTACACGATGGTAGGATAACGTCTGGTAAGCTGTAACGCGACTGCTGTAGTATCTAATGTGATACATAGCCAAACATGCAAAGTGGTATAGACTCAATCTTTCTTGGACCGTTGAGAGCATATTCGATTTGCTGGAGCGATACATCGACGTCATTCCGTCCCTTAAGATGTTTGCGAGGTTTCTTTTGCTACACTGTCGACGCATGGGACGGTTGGTGACAGACATGCCGTGCGGTGCCATGCAATGCACAACAACGCCCAACAAACGCAGCATGCATTTTAAGTCTTCAGACGGACGTCCGAGCTGTAGTCCCCGCGGTCGCTGAGGCTACTTGAGCAGAGGGGGGATCCCTTACGCTGATCAGCATGGGGACTGCCTGTCAAGGCAATGACGGTGACGATCGAGGCTCGATGTAATCGGAGGCCATCGGGCGGGAGAAGCCATGGGCCGGCACATTCTGTGACATGAATCCGAACTCAATGGTCTCTAGCACCTGTATCCGAGAGGTTGGCACATAATTTGGAAGCCAAAGCAAGCGATGACGACAATACACTTTGACGATTGAAATGTGCCTGTTCCTAGGCTTCGCTTTCACTGTCCCAAATTGCTGGACCTGACCGAAAAAGGATAGCGAGAAACGCCGTGGCAGAGTGGCAGCCGCCGTGGTTCGGGGTTGGCGTACCTGTGGTGCATTAACTCGAACGTGCTGCGTTAGTAGAGGCCACGAGGGACTGAAGCAGAGCACACCAGTTGAAAAATGATGTTGACAATACCAGCCTTCAGCCGAGGGAGTTATTTGGCAGCGAGAACTGCAGGTGTATGAAAGGTGATATGGGCGCCTCGGGCCGCCAGACGCTCGCTGCCCTGTGGTGTTGAGATGGTTGGCTGTACACAGTACGCAGCCACTGGAAGACTGCTAGGGCTAAGCTAGCTGTTTAACATTGCTGAGAAGAGGAATATCTTTCTTCGAGCCTCATCTGAAAAGAGGGCATAAATCAAGTGCAGCCAGACCTATCTTGCCCGTTTCGTGGAGTGTATCACTGCAGCATCGAAAGGTATTGGGTGCTCCTGTGGCTGGTCCCGCCGGGAAGCCAAAGTCTGTAACATTGACAGGTAATTTGCATAGTGTCGCGAGTACAGAGAGGAGGACCGGCATCCTGTCGGAGGAGCGCATGCACCAGTATTATAGAGGGTATGCCGGCATCTTGTGTGTTCAGTACACAGCATCGGATGTGGTGGTTGCTTAGCCGGACGCACTCTGCAACGCGACCGAAGGATGCTTCCTACCTGTACAGTCAGCCAAAGGAATGATGATTGGATTATGCCAACTCCATGTGATACCTCTGGTTAGGACAAAAGCGAGAGTCGCAACACTGTTATCTGGCGGCTTGCGATGCCGAAGACATGGGAAACATGGTCGGTGACAGTGGGCACCAGGCCGGCGGAGTGACGGAATCAGCGAGAGTTTGAGACGGGCGTGGGCGGGGGATTTCGGGCCAGAGCTGCGCCAGATACCGCAGACCGCAAACGGAAGTGTCGGGAGTGCCGTGGTTTCCTTGGGCAAGACGGATAAGCGTCTCCACAGATAAGGGACCCACCGTTTGAGAGGATAAAGGGAAAGAACAAGGAGCGGGGGGCAAGAGCCAAGTAAGTACCCTCTTCAGGTACCTTACTCGAGGTACAAAGAGAAGAAGGAGGAACCGAAGGGTGTACCTCAGACTCTCGAACCTCGAGGAAGGAGCAGTTGTGATATCTGTCGATGATTCGCCGATTTGCTCGTCGACTCGAGTGGGCAAGTGCCATCTCCATACGGGACCCAATGTCAGCCGTCCGTCTTCTGTTCTTTCCCGAGTCCAGACACAGAGGTAATTTCATAGTTGCGCCATTGAGGAGAAGGAATACTGGGGGCAGGGCCGTTTTCTTTGGAGACCAGAAACGGAGACGACCCCACCAGAAACACGATGCTGGGCCCGGGTGGAGGTATCTTCTGGTTGACACAACGTAGAGAAGTACATGTTCCAGCAGATTCCGGATGTCTCTCGCCTCTACGTAGTACACGACGGACCCTCTCAAGCAATCCCAGGTTCAAACAGCCACAACCGCAAGACATCATCGTGAAGTGTCATTCCACGGCATTCAACACACACGCAACGTGCTCCAGTTTGGTGACACAACATGAGCATAACCACATTCGACTATCGGGGCTCAACTCGGCCTAATCCACTCGACTATCCATATCGACTGCTCAGCTCGATTACTTCATCCAGGCATCAACAAGGCGGCAAGCAGACAACCGGATCATAGGGAACAGTCATTACGTGCCGTGCATACCTACTACACAGGCAGGGGAGGAAAGCAAGCGAGAAGCGATGGGCAATCGAAGCTGAGCCCTTGGGACCCAGCTTTCTCCCGTTGACGAATCATCCTCACCAAGGTCAACAAATCCAGACTCGCGTTCGGGATCGCAGGCAGAATCTCACACTTCCCAAATGTCCCGCCTGCGTCTTGTCTTGATGTCCCTTTTCGCGCAAGAGGTTGCACCCTTCATGCAGGTGTTCGTCGGCAACTGTGGGCTGTGGAGGGCTCCAACAGCCTGAGCAATACACGGGGACACGGGGAGAGAGCAAAGAGGTACCTAGCGCCTCCGCCGTACCGCATTCTCCTTTCAACCCTTGGGCCCAAGCATCGCCGGTTCTGGTTCTGGTCCGCAAAATGCACCATCCATCACCTTCCGTACAATACGAACTGGTCCAACCATCACCACGGGGCTACCTTCACGAGGCGGACCGTATTGGCCGATGAAGCCCCATATCTTCGGGCCAAAAGCAGTCGAAGCATACCAACGCCGCCTGAGGCCCGGAATTTCCACTTCTTGTCGTCTTATCGCTCTCGGATTCTCCAGCCCTGATGAGCCGCAGTCCTCCTTCTGGCACCCCACAACCTCCGGGCCTGCAAACCACACAACCCAACAAAGTTGCCGCCACCGTACAAAGGTCACTACAAACAGGCTGGCCATCTCTCCGAATCTCCGCTGCACTTGGCCCTGTTGGTCACCGTCGGCGTCAACAAAGCGAGAAATTGCGGATCCCAATCGCCTGGGCGCGGCGACGACAAACCCCAAAGTGGCGCCATGTCGACACCTCCACGAATCGCAGTCCCGCGTTTGTGGCCTGCATTCCAGGCAAGGGTCTCCCAGGCGGACAGGCCTGACGAGGAAGAACAGCCGCCGCCGTAATTTATCCCTCAAGCTCCAGATTCCACGGTAATCCGTCCCGTTTCATGGCTGAGTCTGAGTTCGCACATTTCGCCAGCACAAGCCGCAGGGCACGCCAAAAGGACAGAAGGAGGGGCCATCAATGATCAAGCCCACCCAGGATGGGGCCCCAGATGCCGTCTTCTGATTCGACCACTGATCTATATCCAACTCTCACGATCGAAGCAATGCCGCCTTCATCTAACTCTCTGACGAGTCTCCGGTTGATTATCGGACGTGGCATTGCATAGCGCTGAGCCAACTTACTTGCGCCGAGTGGCAGCCTGGCCCTTTCATCTGCCACGAATCCTGCGAATGCACTCTAACAAATCTATGCATTCTCCAATTTCCACGGTTCCTCGGCCCTCTCGGCGGGCCGTTGGACCATTCATCGTGAGGCGGCGCGGCGAAATTCAGGAACAGGCCATGGAGGCACCAGCCCCTGGCAAAACGTAGTGCGACTTGTCGGTAGCAGGTTACTGATCCACGATTTCGATTTGCGATCCGAGATGTTACGACAAGGGAAGAAATGCCTCTTCCAAACTACTCCGTACCCCTCCTTGGCAACCCTTTCGGATGCTGGATACACCGGTGTTGTTACTTCTCGATACACCTGCCGCATCGGCCAAGTCCACGCGCAATGTTCGATGTCCATAGCTATTGCCAACGGCAACACCAATTATCTTCAAAGCACATTAGATCGTTGCCGCGGCCAGCCACATGTCCCGAGTCGACTACCATGCTGTTGACAATTCAGGGTCCCTGCGGTTCCAGGCCGGACGGAACCGGCATGGAAATCTATCCATTTGTCCACGTACCCGTCCATCCACCACAACCTCTAAAGAGATGGAGGGATTCTGGGGGTTCGGTTCCATACGTAGTACTTGTACAGCGGGCGTACGGTATTCTCCGTGGATAGGCAACAGTACCTAGTATTCAGGACCAGCCAGCATCAATGTCTCGGCTACCCTATTGCGAAGCGATACAACGAATGCTAAGGCACCGGAACACCAGGGCACCAAAAAGCCTCATTGTGTGTGTTTCCTGCAGACATACACACTCAGCACCACAAGCAGGCCTAGGCACACCTATTCCTTGAACTTCCAAGCACATGTGATGCTGGTGAAGGGCCACGGATGACCGTTTCGGGCCTTACTGCGTATCTTAGGTACTCGCCTCTCCGGGCTGCCATCACCTGTCACTCTACTGTCCTTTCCAGATTCAGTGGAGCTTCCTGTTCTATCGTTGTCTGACGGGCATGAGAGCCGATAACTTCCCACCAGCCAGAAGCGAAGACAGCAGAGAAGCTTTCCAGGAGCAACTCTGAAGGCAAGGCATGTGCTAATACAAGATGATTCCTCACATGCGATGTAGACACAGTCATCAGGCCGGCGTGGCTGACGCCGAGATGTCTCTGCCGTCTATCTGCAAACCAACAGGTATTAAGTGAACACTCAACAATGGCAGAGGGATAAAGGCAGCCGACAAAAAGCTCATGATGATTGGCGAAGGATGCAAACCACGGACATCCTTTCTCCTCTTGATTCTCCTCTGCCTCGAGGCCTTTCCCCCATTCATCCACAATCGGCATCCATTCCAAGTCCAACCCAGCCTGGCGGAGGGGCAGCGAGTCTGCGACCCCTCCATGGACCACACTCCGTACCCTTGTCCCCTCTCAGCAGTTGCATCACTTTGGACTGCGCCCATTGTTACTTTCTCCATAGTGTTTTCCTCTGACGGCACGCCCCCTTCTGCAATCACCCCTTAGTGGAGACTGTAGGATGGTACTCCGTACTTGTTGACGAAATGCTGCATGTTCGTTGGCTCAAGGGGCGGTAGCCAGAGAGCTAAGGCGGCGCCGACTCCGTTTCAATGAAGCGGAGCCTTGTGGACGAGGTGACGGGATGGACGCAAGAAAGCTGGCTTGTCTATTTGCTGCAAGGCCAGGAAATACTGGGGATGATGGCATGGCTGGGGTTGAAGGGGGATGCGGCGTTATGTCATTGCTCTGGGGGGCAGTCCTTGACCATTGACACAGACTCTCTGAGGTCTTTTGGTGGGAGCCCGCCCAGATGTACCCAGTACTCCGGGTACGTGATGATCTCAGCGCGGGAAAAAAGAGTACATGGGCGATACGTATCTGCCTTTCCGGCGCCCGATGTACCTTTATGTGCGATGCACCACCCAGAAGTACCTGAGGTGACCTTTCCTCATCCTTACGTCCCGTCATGGACGACGTATTGCATGGGTCCCCCTCCACTCCTTCATGCTTTCCCCTTCCAGCCGATGCCCCCACTGTAAATGAGCCTTTCACACGTCAAGGCCATCCCATGGTGCCTTCCCAGACACACTCGCCGTCCATTACATCGTCGTGGTCCTTCTCGTGAAGGCGACACGCTCAGATTATAAAGACAACCTATTCCCCCCTTTAATCACAGGCTTTTCTTCCCACCATTCCATTCAATATCTCACTCACATACTCGATCTTGAGCGATCTTGGTAAACAAAAACATTTCGAGGCTCCAAACAATCGCCTTTTACCCTATTCCTAAACTATATCCAACAAACCCCCACCCTTCCAACACCCGCACCTTACACACACGCCCAACATGTCAACACAACAATTCACTAAGAAGGCCGTCCACTTCGGCGCCGGCAACATCGGCCGTGGATTCGTCGCCTGCTTTCTCCACAACTCCGGCTATGAGGTCGTCTTCGCCGACGTCGCCGATGCTCTCATTGATAAGCTGAACGAGACCCCTTCATACCGGGTTATCGAGGTCGGTGCTGAGGGTACCAACGAGAACACCATTACAAACTACCGCGCCATCAACTCAAGAACACACGAGGCAGAGCTGGTCGAGGAGATTGCCACGGCTGATGTCGTCACGTGCTCCGTCGGCCCAAACATCCTCAAGTTTATCGCCCCTGTCATCGCCAAGGGTATTGACAAGCGTCCCAGCGACCTGGCACCCATCTCTGTCATTGCCTGCGAGAACGCTATTGGCGCCACCGACACCCTTGCTGAGCACATCAAGGACCCTCGCAACACTGCTGCCCACCGCTTGGAAGACCACCACGAGCGTGCACGGTACGCCAACTCCGCCATTGACCGCATCGTTCCTGCTCAGGACCCCAATGCCGGTCTCGACGTCACCCTCGAGAAGTTCTACGAGTGGGTTGTCGAGCGCACACCCTTCGAGGAGATTCCCAGCATCGAGGGTATCAATTGGGTCGATGAGCTCGCTCCTTTCATTGAGCGCAAGCTTTACACCGTCAACACTGGCCACGCTACTGCTGCCTACCACGGTTACAACCGCGGTAAGCGCACCGTCTACGATGCGCTTCAGGACAAGGCCATCATGGCCGAGGTTCGTAAGGCTCTCGAGGAGACCAGCAACCTGATCATTAGCAAGCACGGCATCGACGAGAAGGCCCAGCGTGAGTATGCTGCCAAGATCATTCGCCGCATCGGCAACCCCCATTTGGAGGACGCTGTTGAGCGTGTCGGCCGCGCGCCTCTCCGCAAGTTGAGCCGCAAGGAGCGCTTCGTCGGCCCCGCGGCCGAGCTTGCCGAGAAGGGTGAGGACTGCACTGCTCTGCTCCGCGCAGCTGAGATGGCGTTCCGCTTCCAGGACGTTGAGGGTGATGATGAGAGCAAGGAGCTCTCCAAGCTCATGTCTGAGAATTCCCCAGAGGAGGCTGTTACTAAGATCTGTGGCATCCAGTCTTCGGAGAAGATTCACCCCATGTTGGCTGC